CTGAGCTCTGCTATGTACAATGAGCTACGCAATTATATATAAACGGGGTCATCCCTATAATGATTTGAGGGACATCTTTTAGCAACCTGTGATGCTCTGTCTGGTGTCCCACTCAGCTCACTGACATCACCGGCTGCCTAGAACTGAGTGAAACACTCTGGCTTGTGTCCTGCCTAGCCCCTGGCAACCAGTGAGCTGGGCAGGATGTGTGACAGAGCTGTTGCCAGCACGGTCTGGTGTCCATCACCTCAGATGGTCATTACTATAGGGACGGGACTCTATATATGGCGTTTATTATAGGGGTTCGGTCTTCTGGACTGTAGATGCAAGAAACTGCATTGTCCAGGATGAGAGGTTCCCCTGAACATCCCAAATTTTAGATGTAGATTTGTGATTTTGTACAATTAACCATTTTGCTGTTCGCGTCTTGCCCAGCTCATTGATGTCATTGGTTGCCAGGAGCTGGGTGGAACACCAGCTAGAGTGTCCTGCTCAGCTCCTGGCAACTAGTGACTTCACTTTGGAGGTATTTTAGATCACAGCAAAAACACATTCCTTACTCTATCCAAAGCTAATGAAAAGTTTTGGCCTTACATACACTTTAAAGGAGAACTATGGGGTCAGGGCTTTTCCCCATAGTTCTCCTTAGGGTAACGGGAGGACACAAACTAGCGTCCTCCCGTCACCCTAGGCTCAGTATATCGCAAGCTGCTGCTCGCGGTATACTGAGACGCCGCAGCTGAAGCGGATCCCGACAATTATGTCTGGATCCGCCCAGCTGCGTGACTGACAGCTGGCTCTGCCTATCTAGAGGCAGAGCCAGCTGTACCCGCCCCTCCCCGTCCGTTCCGCCAGTCAGCGCTGGCGGATGGGAGCTGGGAGGGGGGAATCCAGCCCCTCCCCTGTCACGGCAGAGAGCCGTGACAGGATCGAGAAGTGAGCGAATGCCGGTATGTGTTCGCTCACCTCCTGATCTACTGAGCCAACCTGTGACAGTCTCATTGTCACAGGTCGGCTAGAACTATGAGGTGATTGAAAAGCACTGACCTCATAGTTCTCCTTTAAGGATTTGGCCTGACCAGAACAGATACACTCATCTTTACTGAGCAGCAAAGTGTCCCTACAAATTACTTAAAAAAAATGTCTATATGGATATTTGTAAGTTATAAACCGTAGAATGATGAGATCGTCAGTCCGAGCTTGAAAACTAATTTACAAAATGTTCATTAGAGCGTAAGCATGCAAAACAAATTGATCACTTGGGAGATTACTCAACACTGATATAGTACGTAGCAATATGAGGCATTAGGAAGTATTCCTTGCGGTAGGAAAATGTCCTTCCTCGAGGAATAGAAAGGACAACCAATCAGCAGATTTTCTGGGAGAAAGCAACATATAAATATAAGGCAACAGATGAGTTTTATACTCGTCACTTCACCATGCTGGAGAGGAGTCTGCTGCCAATGTTCTCCGGGATGTTATTGGGGAGACATTGACATTTCCTGTAAGCAGTACCAACTTATAACTATCATATAAAACACCCAGGTACAGGTCAGTTTAGCACAGGGGCCGTACTTACAGGATAACAAACCTTTCCAAATTGAGACAACATACGTAATTGTGTCACACACCATTTTATGATCACCTTTCCATTCTAGATTACAAATAATCTACATTGACTTCCTTACAACTATGATACCCTGAGGGTGTGGGGGGTACACAATGTCATTTACTGTTTGCGCTATTGGTTGACTACTTTTCCCCAATGCCTGCTGATATCTTGAGGTACAATCTCAAAAATTCCCTGCAGTAGGAGGTTCTTTTTTTTTTCATCCAAATCAACTTCGAGTTCAAGGTTCAGTATTTCCCCAATAATTATTCACACTTTTGAAGGCATTCAAGAATAAAACCAAAATCATCCCTAGTGGCTCACAAACCACTTTGTGTGTGGTGCCAAATGACAGCTGCTACAGGGAATACATATTATAAGGACCGTTCCGAGTTTAGGAAGCTGGAGGCTTCCCACCCATTGTTTTTAATTGATCAGTTGTGATCGATAAATAGTTCTACCGTTGTAACAGTAGAGTTTGTTCATCTCTATAGAAGGTGTATGTCAGGGCAAAGAAAATGACACCAATACTCCTACCTGCCCCATATTGGCACTATGGGTTTGATTTACTAAAGGCAAACAGACTGTTCACTTTGCTGGGGAATTTTCCCCATAGCTTAGTGAATGTGATAAAAGTTTACTCTGAAAAGAATACCCAACCACATGTTTGTATGATGGAAGTCAGCAGAGCTTCACCTCATTCACTACTAAGTGATAATGCCCTTACAAAGTGATCAGCCAAGTTGCCTTCAGTATGTCTACATACTGAAGCCACATATGTCTACTAAAGAAGTGGTTCTTAACCTGTGCAACCTCAGGACCCACATTTGTCCTTGGTCATTAAAGGAGAACTATGAGGTGAGTGCTTTTCAGTCACCTCATAGTTCTAGCCGACCTGTGACAATGAGACTGTCAATGAGGCGAGCACATACCGGCGTTCGCTCACTTCTCGATCCTGTCACAGCTCTCTGCCGGGACAGGGGAGTGGCTGGATTCCCCCCTCCCCGCTCCGATCCTCCAGCGCTGACTGGCGGAACGGACAGGGGAGGGGGCGGGTACAGTTGGCTCTGCCTCTAGATAGGCAGAGCCGGCTGTCACTCACGCAGCTGGGCGGATCCAGACATAATTGTCGGGATCCGCTTCGGCTGCGGTGTCTCAGTATACCGCGAGCTGTAGCTCCCTATATACTGAGCCTAGGGTGACGGGAGGACGCTAGTTTGTGTCCTCCCGTTACCCTAAGGAGAACTATGGGGAAAAGCCCTAACCCCATAGTTCTCCCTTACGTCGTGACCCAAGTTGCACTGCAATGGAACGCACAGCATTGTGGTACTGCGCGTTCCGATGCGGGCAATAGAACTGTGGGTGGGAGATGCATCTGGGGTGTCATTCAAATGAATGACAATGCAATGCACTTCTCACACCAAAACGTGTAGTAGGTGCGATTGCGAAGTACAGTGCGTTAATCGTACGGGACTGTGCGATTTACGCACTGTACTAGTGTGAATGGGCCTTCAAAACACACAACCACAGACACAATCTCACACACACTCCAAGAAAAAAAAAATGTGTTCTTTTTTCTAAGATCCACCGAGTCTCCTACCTTATAAGAACTGGAGTGGATCCTCAGCCTGGGGTCCAGTGTGGGCTGCTGTACTGTGATGGAGCTCCATCCATATGTGCATTTCTTGTATAGCTTCCTTGCATACCCTGTAGAGGTGCAGAGAGCCAGTAAGTTACATCACACCGGTCCAGGCACCTCTATAGGACAAGTGAGGGAGCTGTAAGCAATGCACATATGGATGGAGCCCACTCTACCTTAGGCTGACACTTGACACCGGCAGCATATTTTGAATGGCTGCTTGGCATGAGAACTGACATTGCTGCGCCAGGGGGAGGCTGAGGAGCCTCTCACCTAGAAAAGTGTAAGGCACATGGGGACCCACTGAACACAGGGTCGCAACCCACTTCTGGGTCACGACCCACCAGTTGAGAACGAAGGTACTAAAGTATGGTATAATTTTTAACAGCAGTGTAGGGACTGTCCAGAAAGGGAACACATTGATGCAATTGGTTGGCTTGAACATGTATTGCAAAATTTGCGAACCAAGAATCCCTGTCTATGCAAAAATGTGCTAAAAAGATCTAAGGATGTATAATAGCGTGCAAAGGGTTTTGTTTAGAAATGATATGTGGTCTTTCCTGTTTAACACCTGGTGTCTGTGAGCGTGCATGTATGTATGTATGTATGTATGTATTAGGGTTGCCACCTGTCCAGGATTCACCCGGACAGTTCGGGTTTTAAATGTTGTGTCCGGGTTTCGTGCAAGCTGAATCCCGGACACAAGATGTGAGGCAGACATGGGCACCCAAAATTAGGATAGGTGCTACTGAACCCCCACTGAAAATAGTCTTGACTGGGATATTTACATATGAATGGGTGGCGCTATTTACATATGAAGAAGCCACGACTCATTCTCCCCAAAAAATGTTGTGCGTCACTAGAGTGTTCGGGTTTCGATGGAAGAAAAGGTGGCAACCCTAGTATGTATGTATGCGTATACTTAATACTGCCATGCCAAATAAAAAAGATTCACACACTCTAATATTTTGTTGGACCGCCTTTAGCTTTGATTACGGCACACATTCTCCGTGGCATCATTTCGATAAGCTTATACAATGCGACAACATTTATTTTCATTCAGAGTTACATACATTTTTCACCAGGATCTTGTAGTGATGATGGGAGAGTCAGACCACTGTGTAAAGTCTTCTCCAGCACATGTTAAAGATTTTCCATGGGGTTAAGGTCTGGACTCTGGGGTGGCCAATCCATGTGTGACTATGATGTCTCATGCTCTCTTTCACATTCCTACACCTCGCAGACTAGCTCACAGGTCCTACTCACACTGAATCATAAAGGTGACCTTAGTTTCATGTGCTTCTGCTCTACATCTTCAGGGTTATTTACAAAAGGGTGAAGAACCACACTGATTGGTTCCTTATCGCTGTTTGAGACCAGAGGCTGTCCGTGAGAGGTCAGTTTCACAGCCGACATACGCTGCCAGATGTTAAATGGAATGTAGATTAGGGTTCTCATGGCTTAGAGGTCCATGCCCAAGAATCAGGCCCGGCGCTACCGCAAGGCAATGGGGGGGTTGGTTGCGGGGTGTGGGGGGCACAAATATTCAACTTTGCCTGTGTTGGCAAAAATCTTAGCACCGGCCCTGCCAAGAATGTTAATCTTCAGACTACGGAAGTTTTTGTTTTCTTTTGTTCTCTTTAAAGTGTCAGTTGCCCTCTAACATGTCATAACGGTTTATTTGTCATTGTTGTTCCGTCCACAGTGAACGGCTTAAGAAGACCTATTCATCATCATTATTTGGCTAAGGGTATGAATTCTAGTGAATTGTTTGACAATGTCACCCACGTCTCTTTAAACCAAGTTTACCAGATCACTAAAGTATTTTTCTTCATCTTGTCCTTCCTCACCTACGGTTTCTTCCTCTATTTCATCTTCAACATCCTATCTGTCTACTTCACCACCCAGCATGTCCAAGAGAACTCCCGGTACATCCTGTTCGCCCACATGCTTATTAATGACACCGTGTGCCTGTCTCTGAGCCTCGTTCTTGGTATCGTCTATCAGTTTTCTTTTATACCAGTGCCCATCTGCTATTTCCTCATTGCTATTTCCTCTGCCACTTTTCATGTTACACCTTACAACCTGGCAGCCATGGCGCTTGAGCGTTATATTGCCATCTGCTACCCGCTGCAATACTTCATGTTTTGTACGACTCAGAGGTCCTACATGGTCATCGGGCTCATGTGGATTGGTGGACTAATCCCTAATGTTGTAGATTTTGTGATCCTGGTTAAACTTGTTCCGAGGGAGTATTTCTTGCAGAGCGTGCTGTGTAAACAGCAAACATTACTGGTAGTCCCCTTACAGAACACACTAAAGTCTTTCACTTTTGTCGGTAGTTTGCTCCTGGTGGCTCTTATCATTCTCTTCACCTACGTTAACGTTCTGAGGGTTGCTCAGAAGTCGGGGTCCAGCGTGTCTTCGGCCTCCAAGGCAGCAAAGACACTAATACTCCATGCCTTTCAGTTGTTGTTGTGCATTGTATCCTTAGCGTCCATAGTGACTGAAAACTACGGTGCTTTCATGACCATGGCCAACTTTTTCATCTTCATGTGTGTGCCGAGGCTACTCAGCCCTCTCATCTATGGCATCAGAGATGAAGTGTTCAGACAATGTATTAGAAAGATGTATTTCTTAATTTATAAAGATACAACTCCAACAATAAAATAGCAAATACAGGCAGTCCCCGGGTTAAGAACAAGATAGGTTCTGTAGGTTTGTTCTTAAGTTGAATTTGTATGTAAGTTGGAACGGGTACATTTTTAAAGTATGACTTGTGACATAAGGAGAGGGGACATCATTGAGGGGCGGTATGTTTCCCCTCGCTTTCTATCCTATGTGCATGAATACAGAGAGAGAGAGAGAGAGAGAGCGCTACATGTTGGATGTGTTCAGAGAGAAAAAGAACTTTGCTGCCTGGACTGTTTTCCCCAGGGAAGGTGATCCCCCATTCGAGCTATACCCGCACAAACTCCAGCCAAAAAAATGTTTTTAGTTTTGGATAGCATAGAGAAGAGTTAACCCCCCTGTAAAGTTTGTGTTGCTGTGTGTGCCCCTGTTCAGAAGGTTTCACCTCACTTTCTGTCCCTGTGACAATTGGATTTTGAAAATTTTGGGTTGTCGTGGGAACAAGAATTGGTGATAAAGCTTCAGTGGAGACACATTTTTCCCATGATAGCTCTTACAGGAGTGAATTTCACTTGCTAAGGGTAGGTTTCCTCTCACTTCCTGTTGTCTCAAGGACAGGAAGTGAGATTAAATCTTTCTAATGAGGATACAGACATCAGTAAAAACCTCACAGTGACTCGGAAGTAGAGGCGGGCACCCCTCGTCTGCAAGTCTAACAAGAGCCAACTTCCTGTAATGTACATACTACATAAAGTACTACGAACCAGACCCAAAAGGGCGGGGACTCCTCATAGGCATGAGCGCGGTAGCATTACAACTACTGAAATGTTGGACGGCACACTTTGGCTGCATCCTGTGACCCCCTGCTGTGCAGCAATAGCCTCCGCTTGTAAGTAGGGGTCGTATGTAAGTCGGATGTTTGTAACTTGGGGACTTCCTGTATATAATACTGGTTGTTCATTTTTGGTCTGTAGACTTTTAAATCAAAGTTTTCACAATTGTATAAGGTTCTAGTGGCATTTAGACGTGTGCACTGTCAGGTGCTATAGGGAGACATGTACCTATAAATGATGTGGCTTTGGCAAACTTGGATGATGATGGAAGTTTGAAGCCTAAAATAATTAAAAAGGCCTGACCCCCAGCTGACAAAATATCTAAACCTTTTTTTTTTTGCTTGAGAGAAATTAGAGTATTATTTACCTTAATCCAGGGTTCCAAAGGTTTTCCTCCATGCCAGTTCTGATTCTGACAACCGGTCAGGTTCTTGTCGCTCTTTGACCAGTCTTGTTGCCACCCCTCTTACGGATGTCATCATGACCAATGAAGGTCCAGCAGCCACTTGTGGTCCTGTATTGTAGACGATGGTGTCCATCCACATTCCAGCACTGTGGAGAAGACCAATGCACCAGCTTAGGGGTAGGGGTAGCCAAACTGCGGCCCTCCAGCTGTGGGGAAACTACAAATACTATCATGCATCTGCCTTAGTAGGCCATGCCTGTGGCTGTCAGAGACTTGCAATGCCTAATGGGACTTGTAGTATCATCACAGCTGGAGGGCCGCAGTGTGGCTACCCCTAAGCTCAGGCCTCATCCACACAACGTAGAGTCGGGCCGTACAGATCCGTGCGGTGTGCACGGCCGCATGGGGCCATTCCCGCGAGGGACAGGTGCTGCATGTGGGAGGACGCGGCCATACGCACAGCCGAGCTGCACATCCGTGCGGGTGTCCGTACTCGGACGCAGACAGGATGAATCCTGTCTGCGTCCGAGCACGGACACCCTGACCCGCACAGATATGCAGTTCGGGTGTGTGTATGACAGCGTACACCTGCGTCCTCCCATAGGGAAGAACAGGCTGCTGCACGCAATCACACCCCACCCCACATCTTGGCGACATTGCCGAGATTACTTGTACAAAACAAGCAACGGATTCCACACTGTACATTTAGCCCTGCTTGCCCGAAGCAGGGCTAGATATAGAAAACAACTACCCGCCTGGCGCCCAGAACTGCATGTGCCGGGCACCGGGAGATAGGCATTCCACACCCCTGCTGCCCCTCTACTCCCTGCTGCCCCGAGGCCGGGCCTTGTGGGAAACCCAGCCTTGCAAAAAGGTGCATTCGTTTTTAACAAACACATGTCTAATTGACATTCATGCACTATATCTGGGATATTTAGGACACACCATATGTACTATAGGTGCTTCTAGTTTTGTAACTCCGCTCCACTGTCCCCACACTCCGGTCTCGGGTGGAGATCCAAACTTCGGGCCTCATCACCTCCCACTAACAGTGCACTCAGAAGTGCAAAAAAGGGGAGATAAAATGGGAAAATAAAGAAGGAGAATAGGAGTAAAATGCTAGAGAAATAGGAAGAAATCCCTCAATCACAATAGTGGCATACATCCCATTTATAATTTACACCCTTGGCCAGCTTAGTGTCTTATTACGAAGATCTAAGAAACCTCTGTTTTGTTTATTAGAGCATCCAGGGCCGGATTTACTCTCCCTGCCGCCCCAAGGCCAGGTTCCACCATACGCACCCCCCGCGCCGCGCCAACCCCCCTCTCCCCCACTTCCTATCAATGGAGAATGGCAAGCAATTGGCAGGGCGGCGGGGGGGAATTAAATAAAAAGTCACTTTTTATTTAATTATTTCTTCTTATTGTTTTAGATTTTTATTTATCTTATTTACTTTTTTATATTTTTTTATCTTATTATTGTTTATTTTTTATAATTATTTTCTTATTTTTTAATCATTTGTTTCTTATTATTTTTTACTTTTTAATCACCTTTTTATTTTTTTTACACAAGGACACCGCTGCCGCCCCTCTGCGCCCTGCCGATTTTTCTTTCATATATATTGAAGGCCTAAACATCATTATATCACTCTGATACACAGTATATTATGAATAAATATGATAACTTTGAATCATGTGTAATGATTAAAACTGAACTCCACTAGCACTCCAAAATCCAAGGAAAATATTGTTGCAAATAACATCACATAGGTCAAAATAGCCAATGTTTTTGGGGGCCATCCTGGGTTCCTCCCTCAAGGCAACACAGTGACCGATTGCCTTGAACAAGGGACCCTGCGTGGCCCCCAAAACGTTGTCTATTTTGACCTATTTTATGTTATTTACAATAAACAATATTGTCTTTGCATTTTGGAGTGCTGGTGACCTATTTTCACATGTCTGAGGTTCTGATCTGCGCTATCCTTGGCGGTCACTACGAGCGCCTATGTTATCTACACCGGTCACAGCGCTGTATGGCGTGCAGCAGGCACTTTCAACAAAATTGAACTCCTAGGAAGTATCCTGATGCTGCAAATAAACTTAACGACAGCACAATGGATCAATGGTTGGCTCTTCTGCCTTACAGCATTGGGGGTTAAAATCCCAGTCAGGACACTGCATGGAGTTTGCATGCTCTCCCTGTGCTTGCGTGGGTTTCCTCCGGGGTACTCCAGTATATTTTCTACACTCCAAAGTTATGCTGGAAAATTAATTGGCTCTTGTCTAAGTCGGCCCTGAATGTTTGCATGGGTTAGGTTGTAAGCTAATCAGGGTCAGGGATTGATGTAAATGTGTACTATGTAAAGCACTGTGTTAATTGTCGGCAATATATAAATACTTTAAATAATTAAATAAACTTATGATTTTTAAATATAATCATAAATGCCTATTTTTAATTAATAAAATTGACTCCCATGATTCCTTTGTACATCAGCTGCGTTTAGGAAAATCCAGCATTGTAGGAGTATGCAGACTGCGGCTGTCACCATCTTTTGATCATGGCACACTCACAAACCAGCATGTAAAACAACTTGTCTCACCACTAAGGATAATAACAGAGGTTTGGATACACGTCTTCTGCAGAGGATGTGAAAGCCGCACTGCCGCGCCAAGGCACCTCTTATAGTGCGGTCCTAACTCTAAACTATGAGAGTCTCCATCTTGGAGCACTTTGGGCAGAAGATTTCAAATTGGGTGCAGGTTTGTCAGGAACAGTAGAAAGGCATCATGGCACACACACAAACTAGCATGTAAAACAACTTGTCTCACCACTAAGGACAATGACATAGGTTTGGATACACGTGTACCTCAGCGACGCATGGGGTTTCTCAGCTGCCAATGGGATGTGCGGGATCCCTTGTGTGTTTCTGTACCTTTAAGGAGGTGGGGCGTCCTCCTGACAGGCCTGCACCCAATTTGATATCTTCTGCCCCATGTGCTCCAAGATGGAGACTCTCATAGTTTAGAGTTAGGACCGCACTATAAGAGGTGCCTTGGCGCGGCAGTGCGGCTTACACATCCTTTGCAGAAGACGTGTATCCAAACCTCTGTTATTATCCTTAGTGGTGAGACAAGTTGTTTTACATGCTAGTTTGTGAGTGTGCCATGATGCCTTTCTACTGTTCTACTGTTCAAAGCCCATTTCGTGTGCACCTTACTGTATAACTGGTGACAAATTGTTGAGTGCGTTTGTCGTTTGCTTTGCTTGTACATCTTCTGACCATGTCACGTCTTTCAACCCGCAGCTCCCAACATGCACTACACCAGAGCCATGCTGGGGGATAGGCAGGAGATGGTAGAGAAGGTGTTGGAATTGACCCTTGTACTCAGGGCCACCACGGCCGGGCCTCAGGGCAGCAGGGAGTAGAGGGGCAGCAGGGGTGTGGAATTTCTATCGCCCGACACCCGGGACATGCAGTTCCGAGCGCCAGGCCGGTATTTATTTATTTTTCTACATTTAGCCTTGCTTTGGGCTAAATGTAGAGCAGGGAAGTCGCTGCTCGTTTTGTACAAGTGATCTCGGCGATGTCACCGAGATCACTCGTATGCAGCCTGCAGGTCAAAAAGTAAATTGAGGAACCTAGCCTTGGGGTAGCAGAGAGAGTAAATCCAGCCATGCTTGTACTGGCAATTGCGGGTGAGCTAAAGACAAGGAAACTTTGTATATATTCCTATAGACATAGTCACGAGGCGGCCCAACGAAGTACTGATGGGGTGGTCATAATAATCTGGCCACTCAGTGT